AAGAAAAAAAACAAAATATTGCCCTTCTTTCCTGCTTTTCTGACATTACTCTTGAACAGAAAAGACGTGTTTTATAATATCCTACTGCTTGGTACGCTACGAAACAGATTCTCATTCCGGTCAGATCTCCGGGAAATTTAACAAACCTGACAAAGAATCTGTCTAGTTAGGGATAACACTGCTGATAACGCAAATTTTTAAATAGCATCCAGAGTAATTTGGGTGTGGGGTGAGCAATCTCACGGTCATGAACAAGTATAGTCGACTCAGCTGAAATTCTATCCATGTACATCTATGCTGCTTGAGCACGATGTTAACATCATGAGGTGTCCTCAAAATGGTTGGATCATCCTCAGGGTTTATGTGATAGGATGGACATTAGCACGAAATTTGTTCGACTCGTTATATATGTAGTCTTTGTTTCAGTTATGTCAAAAAATACGAACAACGATAAAATTGATGATATTTTTGGATAAAGTAGCGTATTTCGTACGCGTGCAAGGTCTAGCGCAATCTTTTTCCTGAAAAAATTGTAACGGAACGTATGAACACATACACACAGTCATTGTGTTGTACATAGATATATAGATTTCTGATTGCACCTTGTCGCTAGAATATGGGCAGATGTATCGGTAAAATGCAGAGTAGTGTAAGAATCCACCACAAGCTGTAATATATTTAATAGGTGAACAAATGTGTGCACCGCTAGAAAAGTTCGGCTAAAAAGATACAAACAAGAGAGAATGCTAATCTAAACCATTGACAAAAAGGAATCCGCAAGAAGGCTATCGCTTTGAATCATAGGGGATCACACGAATGAGATATCGAAATACAAACGCTAATTGCCAAACAATCTCTCCTGTGATATAGTAACATTGCAATACTGACACTGAGGATAACACCAAGTTCTGAAAACCGCGTCCCTGTAGAAAATCTAAACCTCGGTCCCACATCTTATCACATATCGACGGATGGCCTGTGCCGCGGAATTGCTGCGTTGCGGATCTACCTTCGCTAAATATTGCCTTCTTAAAGTTGCAGGTAATCGTCGTCCTTCTTTGTAGTGAGGATTTTTATTTTGTAAACATGTACAGTTTTTCAAAATCCACCTTTAAGAGTTTTTGAATCTTGAATTTTCATCGAAATATCGTTGAACAGAGGGCTTGCCGTTGATGATATTCTTTATATTTTCCATTTACTTTTGCCAACAATCTCCTTCTGATGAGTTCTTTAGTATCTTTCCTTCTTTTCAGTTTTCTTTCTCTTTACGATGAAAAATGGCCATTGTCGAGATTCTCCTATTCTGTAAATTGTACATGAAACCTTCCTAGGGGTTAGCCAATGTATTGCATCTGTTCTATGTAGTTCTGACTGTTTTTTTAATAATTGTTTAATTTGTAAGCCCGTCAGATTAATGAGTCCATGAGCTTTTGATCAGCGCAAATTTTTCTCTAGCCAGTTATTGTTTCAGAACTTACTGTTTTAAAGAATAGCTTTTCATAATCTATCGTCTGACGCAATAATGTGGAATTCGGTCCTATGTAGTTCCTCAATATTCACCCCTATGAATTTTCTTTAAAAAAGTACTTCCTACCTAGATTTATGTCCTACTCTGAAGTAAAGATACGGTAAAACGAGTTGATAACAAATGCCGTTGTTGTCCTAGAATCTCCCGAATCTCCTCAAATTTTTGTCGATAGCACACTGCTTCAAGTGAGCTTTCCAGTTTCTTTTTTTCACTTCCCCTTTGTTTATAAAAAAATGACTGCGCAAATTTCATTAGTGCAGCAGCACACTGCCCAAGCGCAACGCGGTCTAGTAGTGTTATCAACTGCACTACGCATGCGATTTCGGACTATGGGGGTTATTGGTATTAATCAGATGTTTTGTACTCCACTGTGAAATCTTGTAGTTAAGGCTTGTAAAAAAAGATTGCAATCCCTTGCGGAATCAACTTTAAGCTTATTGAATCTGTTTATCACCGCTTCCTTTCTTCCAGTCTACCTGACGTCTACTGCGCAGGGCTTTTAAAATGCTCCAGAAAATTCTGTTTATGAAATTCCTATAAAATGGTCGTTCATCAAAAGATTTTGAGAATGTCGCACAATTATTTCGATGGTACGCCAATAAGCAACCGCAGTGGAAAGGAAACTTCTAGATGCTATAGCGTTCTAAACGGAAAATATGTACTATTCTGTGGATTTCTTCCTTCCTCTTCATATTTTTGAGTATATTAATACTCAAAAATCGATAATCAAAAAAATTCCTTTTCCATACACTACGATATCGTATATCTTCCTCTCTAAAAATTTCAAAGAAAAGCATTCATTGAGTGGCTTTTTTTAAGCATATTCGTTGTTTTGCACGTTCTTGTAGACGCATTACGTAGGGCCGAGCAAAAACTTTCTTGAGCGCGTACGATATCGTTAGAGGAGAAAATGGGTACGCCGAACTCACTTGCGTAGTCCCCGCCGTGCTCCCTCGCATGGTGCCGTGGCCCATAGCCAGAACTTTGGGTGTTTTGGAAGCACTGCTTGTCTCCAGAGTGACT